CAGCGCGGGCAGCGTCTCGTCGGCGCTACCTTTTCGCCGGCGACGCGGCGCGAGTCGCCTGGGCCTGGCCTTTGATCTTCTTGTACGTTGTCGTCTTGGGGATGACGTCCTCGAGGAACTCGAGATTGTCATTGTGCGCGACGGCGTTGGCTTTTCACCCCCCCCGACCTTTCTGTTAGTTTAATGCTACCTTTGGCGATCAAAATCGCGGCCCATCACTGCGAGAGAACGTGTACTGAAGCACGCCGAGAGAGGACGTACCTAGGTCCTTGTACTGCACGTTGCGGCGGGGCTTCCGGTCGAGCTTGGCCTGGTTGTGGGCTTCATTGGCGAGGTGCTGGATGAACATCTCCTGCGCCCTGTTAGCAGCTGACTGCGTCGAATCGCCACATCAGCGAGGATCTTGTTTTGCACGTGCCGTGGCGACTGTGATGATGAATGCTGCGTTGCTGGAACAGATGCTGATGTCTGGGTCCTGAGCGATGATCTTCTTGACGCGAGCGACTGGGGACGGCCTTGTTAGTGCTCTGTCTAGCTGGCTGGCTGCTTTGATCGGTCGTGAGAGCTGGTGGACGTACGGGGCAGGGCCGGTTGGCCCGTGACCTCCTTGCGGGGAGGGATGGCTGTGGTGTTGTAGGGCATGGCGGCGAGGAAGCGGTGGGACTGAGAGAGCTGGTGGTAACGGGATCGGATCTGAAGGTCTCATTAGTGATGCGGTCAAGAAGCTTCTCGTTTTTACTTGATGCGAGCGGCTCATTATGGTGCTTGGATTGCGTGACTAAGAGGCTGATGGCTCGAAGCTAAGCCAGTGCTCACTTGGAGATGAGATTGGCATGCGAACTCATCGCAGGATATGCCAAGCTCACAATGGGGTAGGAAGCACTCATAAGGCTGGGCCGAGGCGAACGCAATCATGGACAGGGGAAGTTATTACCTTGACCGTCGTAGAAACCTCCAATTGTCTGTCTGGTAAGAACAGCACAGCTTCCCAGTCTTGTTCGTCAAGTCTGGACAGCTATGAGATTGGAACAGCCGTCTAAGAGGTGAGGTTGAAAAGATGGGGCGTCAGAGACGCGTTGATGCGCGCGAGGGAGCTTCAAAATGCGCCAGCTGCCCTCGGCTGGCACCAACCCCTGATGTGCCCCTGAAACCCTCACACCCAGCATCGCTGTAGAGGACATCATTCCAGCAGACTGCCCTATCAACAAGTGTTTTCATTTGACGATGACATGGCTAGATTGAACAGAGGCTGCATAGAATCATGATAAGAGTTGGAAGACATCGACAAATATCGAGCCTCGCGCTCATACAGCACCTCCAAGGCCCCTCATGCGCCTTCCAGATCCCTCACTCCAAGCCCAGGCCTACTGGGCTATCTGACCGCTTAAACTCACGCAGCTCCTGGCCGACCATTGTCTTGAAGTCCAAGCCAACTTCGGCCAGCATGGAGGCGTGCTTCTGCGCGCGATCCATGCACTCGGACCACACCTTGCCGTCGCGCTCCGTGCTGCTGAGCTGGCGAGAAAGAATCAGGTTGAAGGCCTCCACCTCTTCCTTGGCCCACTTGACGCAAGTGCTCATCATGGGCGGCGGGAAGCAAGATTGGTAAACGGTGACGGTGTGTTTGATGAGCGTAAAGTAGCAGAACGAGATCTCCCAGATGTACTGGTGAAGGTCGCCCTGGAACGTGCATTGCCTGGCATTCTGGGTCAGCATGGGTGCATGGTTCAGCTACCAGCAAACTTGACTGACCTTGATCGATGCTGGATCACGTTGTGCCTCGCCAGGAGGTACGACTCGCGCGCACGGTCTTCGTAGCCGAGTCTTGTCAGCCATGACACGATGCGCCTCGTCTTGGTGGCCATGTTGTGGTACATGTCGAGTTCGCGGAGCAGCATATCGGCCACCTTGACGCAGCGCTCTTCGACTTTGAAATTGATAAAATCCTGCGCCACGGCGTTGCTCTTCAAACCCCTCGCAAGCTTCTTGAGCTTCTCAACCCTCTCAACGGCATTCTCAAAGTGTTGCAGCGCAATCTCAATGTCGAGCTCGTCCATCTGGCCCTCCACCCAGCGGAGGTTCTGTTGGTTGCCGTCCACCTCGATGCGCATGTCCTTGATATCCGACAGAGTCTCCAGGAGCTCAGCCTTCTGCAACAGCCCCGGGTCGCGTGACGCAAAGTAGTTGATCGTCTCCTTGGTCTTGTTGTTGGCCTCCATCTCAGACTGCAGGCTCTTGCGGAGCTCCTCCACGGCCTTGCGAATGTTCAGAAGCAGGGACGGCTTGTCGGGATCGTCCGGTTTCTCCGTGCGGTAGATGAAAGACTCCTGGCCATTGCCTCGGACGCGAATGGCGTCTGTCAGCTTGCTCCTCGTGCTGGACGACTCGCTCGACCCAGCCATGTCGAAGACCTCCACGTCCAAGAGGGGCCAGCACCGGTCTGCAACCAGCTTGATGATGTTGCCTTGTCCCTCACGGGGCGGCCCGTCGGTCTTGCGCTTCTTGCGCGACGCGATAAGCAAGTGGTCATTCAGCAAGAAGATCTGTGTGGCGCGCCGGGACTTGTAGGTGGCATTGTCGAGTTCGATCCACTGGCCGGCGTTCTGTATGACATGACGACCGGGGGCGTTGGGCAGGAACTTTTGCGTCCCCTCGACGTTCTTGTAAAGGGCCTGCATCTGCGAGTTCCACAAGGCGCTGCGGTCGGCTACGGAGCTGCGCTTGTCCCTCTTGCTGAGGCCCGTCGACAGCTCGCCATTGAGGCTGGTTGATTCGTTCCGACCACCCGCTGCTGCGCGGAGAGAGGTTGTGTTGGCCTTCAACTCGGCCATGAGGTTTCGGAGCGTCCGCATCTCATCCTTCAGCTTGTCGGCTTCGTGGGCAATCTTGATGAACTGGGTGCGGTTTTGCATCACATTCTGTTGGAGATCGGCCTGGGCTCTTGCCTTGAGCTGTCGAAGGGAGTCCTGGTACTCCTGAATCTGGTCCTCGGTTGCATCACTGAGCAGTCCGGCGACATCTGAGAAGCATTTGGTCAGTGGTCAAGTCGCGAACGATGGGGCATCATCTTCCCACATTGATCGGCGTTGAGATTGGGGTCTCGCAGAGCCTTCAGGTCGATCGCGGGTGCCGCGCCACCTCTAGATGGTGGAGGCCCTCCGCGCTTCTCGCGAGACTCGTACTTGTCGAGAGTGGGCAAGGCGGGCACGGGGGGGTTGTTGACGTCGAAGCCTGCCTCGGCAAAGTTGCCAAAGCGCGTTGAGTATCGTCGTTTGACCAGGTCGGAGGTCTATGTCCAAAGCACGCGTCAGCTTTCTGGGCATGGTCTCTCATGTTCAATTCGACCTACCGCATTACCTCCGCCAGGCTGAATCGGAGGGCGCTGGCGCTGCTGGGGAGGCGGCGGTGCCTCATTGATGGGTCGCAGGGCCGGGCCACTGGCAGGGCCATTCGCATTGCGCAAGGGAGACGGTCCATTCTGTGGGATGGGTTCAGAGATCTGTCTCGGGGCGCTGATGGTTGGGCGACCCCCCTTCCGCCGGGGGCCTGATCTCAGGGAGATCCTACTGCGTTCGGAGGACATTGGATGGGCCGAACGGGTGAGTGTTGGACCGGAGGCTGTGGAACGGAAGAGGCGAGCTCGTCGGTGGTGATCGAGATGCCACTGCTCACATTCACTTCCGGCGTGGTGGCATTGACGAGACGCATCAACCTGGGGTTGAATAGGGTGGCAGTTAGGTCGTGTTTCGTCAGGACCGGGGGTCGTTGTTGACTGAGCTCTGGCAGCTCAGGCTCGGCCTGTGTGGGGAACAGCTTTCGGGGGTCAGTAGCCTGTACCCTCTGTACCCTCTGTACAGGAGGTAGGTAAGGTACCTTTAGTTGCAGTACAGGCTGTCCAGCGTCCGTGGGTCGGCGTGGATGTTTCTCTGCCAGAGCTCACGGTTTTGGCGATGTTTAGCCGAACACACATGCATCGGACAAGGCCTCGCTGGCGTGGTGCTGCACTGACGCGCGAGACCCCGGCTCAAGACCAACTAAAAAAATTGGTAACAGAGCTCCATCAATCGAGCGCCTTACCGAGTGCTTGGCCGATAAACCAGCTTCATTTCTCGACACTCGACCTATCACCCCCCGACGCTCCCCCATCTCGTCACCACCCTTAATTCTTTGACGACCAGCTCCTAGACCGAGTCCGCTCCGACGTCTGCCATCGATCATCCACCGCTTGGATTTCTCGTCACCGTCTTTTTTTTTTCTTTCGAGGCCCCTTCGTTCCATCTTCATTTCACCATGGTTCAATCATCCACGATAGTGACGGCATCCGTCGCCGCTGCCGCGACCGGCGTTGTTGGTAAGTTTCTTATCAGCCTCCTTACCAGGGCTTGAGGAAGTACATGAGAGCTCGGCCGAGGCATCATCAGCAACCGTCAAGCAGCTCCTTGGCTGTCTACATTGCGTCGTCTCTGGTATCACAAGCACCATGCGCCTCGTTGTCACATGGACCGTCCACTCTACACACAAGGCCATCGTCCGCTAACCGGCATGCACCTCTTCAGCCTACCTCTTCTACTTCGACTACCAGCGCCGCGCCAACGCCAACTTCCGTCGTGACCTCCGCCGCAACGAGCGCAAGCAGCACCGCGCCGAGAAGGAGGAGGCCCAGCTCGAGACCGTCCGCCAGCGTCAGGCTATCGCCCAGGCCGTTGTCCAGGCTAAGGAGGAGGGCTTCCCCGAGGATGTCGAGGGCCGCGAGGCCTACTTCCTGCAACAGGTCTCCGAGGGCGAGACTCTGGCCGCCGATCGTGAGTTTGCCATTGCTTCTCTGCCCCCGTTGGGCCAGCCTGGCTACAAAGATGGATAGCAGCATGATCGGAAGCTGACCGCTGCGAAACAATAGCCAACCACGTCGTCGAGGCCGCTCTTGCTTTCTACAAGGGCCTCAAGGTCTACCCTACCCCCAACGACCTGATCAGCATCTACGACAAGACGGTCCCCAAGGTATGCGAGACCACTCTTATCGTGACTTGAACCGAATTCGCTTGCAGACGCTAATCGCACCACAGCCCGTTCTCGACATCCTCGCCGAGATGATCGCCTCCGACTCTGATCTGAAGATTAGCTCCGGCGGCCAGGGCTCCTACACCGGCAGCAGCGGCCCTAACCTGTCCGACATGCCCACCGTCGGACTCGACTAAAGCGCCCGTGACGTCCACGAAATCCAGGGTCGTTCCCGTCGAACACACCTCGAAGGGCCTGGCCCGAACGATCCAACTCCTCCACTCTGTACCACCGCCCAAAAAAACAAAACACCCACTCCGAAGCCGGACATCGCAGGAACGACCCCCTCGTGCAGCATGTTTCTCAGCGATAGCCGGCATTCAGGGCAATCCTGACCCACAAGGATTTACGACGTCTTTGATTGTACCATACCAGCCGAATGCGCTGTTTGATAGAGGGACCCGCGGGGAGGAGACGCCCGCGTGGTAGCCAACTGTATACTGATGATTGGGGGAGAAGGTAGGGGAGGGAGTTTTGTCAAAAAGTGAAAGGGTATGCGTAGCCCGAGGCGGCGCATCCGCGGACAATACACGTTTAATTGCCCTACTATGCGTCGTGCGCAGGTTGTCAAGTTTTTGTTTTCGATTGGCGCCATCTTGCTGTCATTGTTCACAGGGACCATGGGCATTCGGGGGCATATACGTGAGGTTGTCATGAATCGTCTTTTTTGAACTTCCTTTTTGACTTTTAGGTTGCAAAATACTCACTTGGCTTCAATCTTCCGGCCCTTCCTGTCGACGCGGTCGTCACGGGGGTCGAACCCGCCGTTGCCCCAGGTGGCCCACTCGGGCGTCGCGGGCCCCATGTAGTCCTCGGCGCGCCAGTCGCCGTCGGGCCCCCTCTCCTCGAGCAGCTCGAAGAAGCGCTGGTAGTCAATGGTGGTGTGCCACTTGCCGTCGACGCGGAAGCGGTCGCTCGCCAGCAGGATGCAGCAGCTGTGGGCGTGCTCGGCGGCGATGCCGTAGCGGAGGCCCTTGTCGGCGAGGCGCGCCTCGAGCTTCTTGACAAAGTCGCAGACCTCCCAGTACCACGGCACGTTGCTCATGCTGAGGCCGGCGTTGGAGGCGGTCGAGGTGCCGCAGTAGGTGACGCCCTTGACCTCGATGAAGCAGGGCAGGCCGCGCTCGACGAGGGCGGCGTAGCCGTCGACCTCGTCGTCGACGTTGAAGCCCTTGACCAGCGTCAGGCGGTAGACGGTGCGCTGCTTGAGGCGGCGCTCGCGCAGAATGTCGAGGCAGCGCATGAAGCGCTCCCAAAAGTCGCGGTGCAGCGGCCGGTCGATGCGCCGCAGCGACTCCTTGTCGGCGGCGTCGATGGACACGTAGAGCTGCGTGACGGCGCGCAGCGACGCGAGCTGGTCCGGGTGCTGCGCGTTGCAGACGAGGAACGACGAGATGCGCTCGGCGTGCAGCATGGCGAGGAACTCGTTGATGTGCGGGTAGAAGATGGGCTCGCCCACGAGGGACAGCGCGCAGTGGCGGATCCGCAGCGCCTCGGCGTACCGGTCGGCGCGCACGCCCGCCATGCCGCGGAGCACCTTGATCTTTTGGTAGTGGCCCGCCTTGACGCCGTTGAAAATGTCCTCGGGCGGGTCGACGACCCAGCGCCACGTCGTGCCGACCGGGTTCGTGCCGTGGCGCCAGCAGAAGACGCACTTGTTGGAGCAGGACAGCGACGGCGTCGTTTCCATGCACTGGTGCGAGGCGATGCCGTAGAACGAGAACTTGTAGCAGGACCCGCGACCGCGCAGGGCCGATTTTGTCCACCGACAGATCTTGACGCCCGAGTGTGAGCCGACAATGGTGTAGCCCTGCTTTGTGAGCGAGGCATAGGTGGGCGAGTTTCTGGGCACCATCTCCTTGACCGTCGGAGGAGCGGGCGCCGCCTTCTTGGCCGCCGTCTTGCCGTAGGTCGTAAAGTCGACAGCGATGGGCGCCCCCTTTCCTTTAGCCGGCACCGAGTCGGGTCTGGAGTCCTTCATGATGCGGCCCAGATCCTCGACGTCTTCGAGGTTCTTGCTATTCTTCAGTTTCTCCGGCTTGGCTTCGCCGTCCTCGACCAGGGTCTCATCGTCGTCTTCCTCGTCAGCATCCTCCTCGTCGCTCTCGACAGGCGCACCGCTGCCCGGCATGCCCTCGCCAAGACCGCCCGTGCGCGCCAGCTGGCCCAGAATCTCGATGATACCCTCGGACCATTCCGCCAGTCGCTCGGCGTAGTCCGTCTTGGGGTCGCCCATGCCGACGGGCGCAGCTCGCTTCCTGCCCGTCAGCCTCGCCATCCACTTGTCGAGCTCCTTCGCCTGGAAGCAGAAGCCCTCCTGCTCGTTGGGCCAGCCCTCGCGGTCGCCAAAGCCAAAGACGGAGTAGCCGAGCAGCGGGGCGAGCGGGGCCGTGTCGATCCTAAAGTCGTGGTGGATCTCCTTGAGGTGCTCGAGGAAGGTGTCGTTGATGGTGTCAATGTTGAAGCTCGGCAGCAGGAACAGGTACAGCAGCTCGACGTCGCCCTTGGCCGGGGGCGGCGTGACGAAGTAGTCGTCAAAGTCGACCTCGGCGAGGTCGAGGAGCTCGGGCGCCTCGAACGTGCAGCGCGTCTCGGGCGCCGCCTTGTGCATGTCGCGCCCGAGGTCCTCGGCGAACTGCTTGGCAATCTTGGGCGTCGTGGCCGTGATGCTCGAGAAGAAGATGAGCGGCTGGATGCGGCGCGGCGGCTGGTCGACGTTGTCGTCTGAGGACCTGCGGCGCACGACGCCGCCTTTGACTCGCCTCGGGCCGCTGGTCGTCTTGGGTGCTCTGGGTGCGCCAGAGGCTTCAGCGACGACGACGGGGGGCTTTTCGGCTTTCGCATCGCGCGCGAGGGCCGCCTTCTCGGCGACTGTCTCGTCGGCGGCGAGCTTCTTGGGCAGGGCCTTGAGCTGTTCGGGTTTTTCGCCGGTGACCTGGAGATAGATTCGAAGGCCGACGAGGCCGAGAGCGACGACGAGCAGCACAGGGACGCGAACCTGCTGCCATGCATCGTGGAGGTCTGGAACATTTCGGTAGCAATGTCAGCAACTTTGCGCACGAGTCGATTGGCTAGGTGGACTAAGAAGGGCAAGAAGGGCAGATTCTCCTACCGTTGAGCAGGGGCATCAAAGCCCAGCCGTCCCGGGAACCAGACATGGTTTGATTCTGTAGTATTCGGTCAAAGATCAGGTCTTCAGTCAGTCGTCGCAAAGGGGGAAAAATCCTCCGAGGGTTGTCGACGCTCTGGCGATGCAGAGATGGTGCCCCGCGGTCGACTTTGGGTCGATGTCGAATTCACTAAAATAAAGTCTGCGGCGCCTTGGCGCGGGGCTTCCTGCATGGCTGCCCCCACCTCGCCCACCACAGACCAGAGTTCCCTGAGTCCCCTTTCGTCTTGCCTTGGACTATCTACCTACCTAGGTGCCTTGTATGCCTTCTGTCTTCAGATTTCAGAAGCGGTTCTTGTGAAATGCTCTAAATTTTATTCATGAGACCTGTCTATGACAACGGCCGAATCGCTAACGTGACGCTTGTGTCCTATATGCCAGGCTCTTACCTAAGGTACGTACCAGAGGACGTTCGACAAGCCAGTTTGTACATCATGAACGTCCCGCCTGCGCTCTTGATATATCGTACATCCCATCTGCAGCCCCTAGGAAGGCCATCCCAATAGCTTGACAATGTCCGCCATACGCGTCTCCTTCGTTTTCTTCTCCCTGCTCTTCTCCTGGAAAGCCTTGCTGATAAGCTGCCGCTTCGCCGCCTGAATCTCCAGCACCTGCTCTTCGATTGTGTTCTCCATGACAAGGCGCCACACCGTCGTCGGCCGCTTCTGGCCCAGCCGGTGCACGCGGTCGACGGCCTGGTCCTCGATGGCCGGCGCCCACCAGCTGTCCGCCAGAATGACCGTGTCAGCCGCGACGAGGTTGAGGCCGACGCTGCACACAGCCAGACTGCGAGCATGACCTTCGTGTCGGCGTCGTCATACAGCGCCGCGATGGCGGCATCGCGCTTGTCGGGCTTCATGCTGCCGTCGATGCGCGTCCACTTGAGCCCTGCCTCCTCGATCTGGGTCTGGATGATGTTGAGGAACGACGTCCACTGCGAGAAGATGACAACCTTGGACTGGGGGTCCTTGCACGTCGCCTGAACAATCTTCAGCAGTGCCTCCGTCTTGGAGCTCTGGGTTTCGCCGTCGAACGCATTGGCGTCATCGTCCTGGCCTTCCTCGGGGGCCGGCTCGAGCAGACTATCCACGCCCAGCGGCTGTCGGCACATGGGGCACTTCCTCTGCAGCTCAATGACCTTGGTGATGCACCTCCGGCAGTAGACATGCTTGCAGTGCGTAATGACGGGCTCGCTGAGCGTGTCAAAGCAGATGGGGCAGTCCTCCTGCGTCTCGATGAACAGCCGCAGCGCCTGCTGCAAGACCGCCTTGTTCTTGTCGTTGAGGACCACGACGTCTTGGCCCTCGAGGACCTTGAGCAAGTCGTCTATACGAGCACGACAGAGCGTCCAATGATTGCATGTCTGCCGCAGGCGTAGCAGCTTCTCCAGGACGCTCTGGAATGGCACGCGGCCAGTCCTGGCCTGACTCTGGTATTCCTGGAGGACGCCCTGCGCCTCTTGCAGCAGCACCTTGTACTTTTCGCTCTCGTCACTCCTGAACGTGATTCGATGCACATACTCTGTCTTGGGCGGGAGTTTAAGGTCGACAAAAGCCATGTCCTTCCTCCGGCGAAGGCACAAATCGTGCATAATATTTTGGAGAAGGGCTTCCGCTCTCTTGTGCCCCCAGGTCAGGGGTCGCGTGATGACCGTGTTGAAAATGGTCGGCTGCTCGACGCCGCCCGTCATATGGAGGAACGACAGCATTGATTGGAGATCCTGGAGATTGTTGACGCTGGATTCGTAAGCACATGTTCTCTCTTGTGATTCGAGGTTTTTCAACCAGAGGACAAACTTACATTGGCGTGCCGGTGAGCACCCACCGAGACGCGGCCTTGAGCTGGCAGGCCGCCCGGGCTGCCTGAGTCTTCGCGTTGCGGATGATATGGCCCTCGTCGAGCACGACTCGCCTCCAATCAACACTCATCAACGGTCCACGAGCAGAATCCGTCGTCTCCAGACGCTCCTTGGCGAGTTTTCCGTAGCTTGTGATGACAATGTCGTACCCGGACAACTCTTCAGAGGCCGCAGAGCCGTGGTGGATGTGAATTTTCGGTGCCTTGTCCTTGCGAACGTGTGCATCGAATTGCTGTTGCCAGTTGCTCATAACGCTCACGGGCGCCACGATCAGGGTCGGGCCGCTGCCTGTGCCCGAAAGGATCAAGCTGATCACCTGCAATGTCTTTCCGAGACCCATGTCATCGGCAAGCTTTGGAGAACCATCGTCAGCAACTTGTACGCCAAATCCAGGCTGGAAGAAAAACTCACAATCCCGCCTGACAGCAGCTTCGCCTCACCGGCGACGGAGAATTTCGTTGCCATATTGACCATGCCGCGCTTGTTTTGGTGCCATCTCCACAGTTGGACAGAATCGGAGGAATCCTTCTTCGGGAGCTGGGGGTCTTCTTGAGCAAGCATCCAGTGCAAGCCTTGCAGCTGATACGGAAGCAGTTTCGACACCAAAAAGGCCGGCTCGTCCGCCATGGGCATGGCAGCCATTTGCTCTTCGGTCATGGTTTTGATGGCATCCGCACCCTTGCGTACATCAATCGTCTCGCTCGTTGCCACGAGATCCACCATGGTTGCACCCTCGGGCGGTTCATACTTCGTCGCGTTAAGAGCCTGCTGCATACGCAGCTCGGCAGCGTCAGCCCTCGCTTTGAGGTGAGCGTTCGTCTCTGTCCCGGCTCCGCGAAATCCTTCGCCGCGAGCTTGCCCGTCACGTCTCGCCTCGGCCTCAGCCCTACTTGAGCTGAGCTCGGCAGCCTTGAAAATCCTGTCTTTTTTGAGGCGGTCTTCCAGCGCTCTGCGGGCGGCACGATCACTTGGACCGTAGACCCTCAGGCGTATGGGACAATCGTAGAAATTCATCTCGCCGCTCAGTTGGCACTCTAGTATTATCTCGCCTCGATCCTAGGATGGCCGTCAGCTGTGCAGCTTCCCGTCTGTGCTTCGTCGGAAGCTGGGGCGGCCAAGGACTCACCAGGTAAGGTGCGAGTTTGGCAGCCACATTGCGCGGTATGTGTCCAATCTGGTCTCCCAAAACATTGGTCACTTGCAGAGCATTTGAATCGTACTGTTGCCCCCGTCAATGTCATGGTTCCGTGCCGCCACAGCCACACGGCAGTCCAGCATGGCGCTAGGAGGTCAGTCGCATACCTGATTATGAGGTTCTCGGTTGCACAGCACGATCTCTCCCGCCGAGGCGTTGCCAGCATAATATCGAACACCAACAACCTTGGTAGCTGCCGCAGAGTCAGTTTGATGTGATTGCCTGGTCAAGAGACCAGTATGAGAAGCATGTCAAGGCAAACGTACGCAATGATCCGTAAAATTCCATGGGCGGTTCATCATTGGACTGCGTGAGGTCAATGACCTCGACGTCATCCGCGATGGGCTGAGACGATGATGCATAGACCCTGCCATTCTGGGGTGCCCAATGTTGGGACACCTGTGGACTCCAGGATGACTGAGACGTAGAAGTGGCGTTGTGTCTTTGGCTCAAGCTCGGCTGGGATGAAGGTTTGCGTCCTCGACTTGGTGAGCTCTGCGAGGGGTGTGATGACGGAGCATGTCTCTTGCGTTGAGGCGCTCCTGAGAAGGTTTCGTTCCTACCACCGCCTTCGTCGGCATCGTCTGTGAGGTCGATGACGTCGTGAGACCTCTTTGGAACTGACATGCTGGGGGAACAGACGGGGGGGTTGTAGGACTGTCGACCCAGCCTATGGATCTGAAAGATGCAATAGTGTGGGCTGTAGAGCTTATTCTAGAATTGAATTCTAGTAGTGAAGAATGAAAGATATGAGACGAGGCTAACATGGGTGAAGGGGAATCAGATGGGCATTGGAAGCCCAGGCCACGAAGCAAGACGCGTTGGTTCGTGTCAAGGTCATTTTCCCATACAGGGCTACGGGGTTACGGGTCCGGCAGTTTGGCGTACCTGCCAGGTGACAGATGCCGGGCTCCGGGTGCTACCTTCCCCTGCAGCTGCAGGTCTAGGCCCAATGAGGCCCAATGAGGCCCACTAAGACCCTGAATACTGTACAAATATGACCTGCATGCTCTGCCTGCCAATCTTGGTTTGCTGCACCACTCCTTGAAAATAGTTCAGCAGGACAGTACACAGCGCAAGAAGACAAAGCAGCACCAACAACTTGCTCATTCTCAATAGCAAAAGGCTTCCACCTTGAAGGCGAACGGGCTCCAGGCATGGTTACGAGAGGGCTGAGTCCCTGCGCCGTGCCGATCCGTCTCTCGACCCAGTCCCTCAACCTCCCGACCTCCTCTCTGTCCATCATCCAGTCCATGAAGGCGGCCGTGTTGGTCGAGTTGAGCGTCTCGAGCGCGCCCCAGGGAAAGCCGTCCGGCAGAGGCACGTCGCGTCGCACCGACCAGCCCTGCAGCTGCTGGTACTCGGGCGACAAGATGTAGCTGTGCAGCAGCTTCGCGCCCTCGGGGTGAGGCGCATCCTTGGGGATCGCGGCCGTCTGGGGCCAGGACACGAAGAAGCCCTGCTCGGGAAGCGTAATGTTGATGCCTGTCGGCGCCTGGTATCCGATGGATGACGTGAACGTGGCGGCCTGCGTCGTGTTGGCGGCTGAGAGGATCGTGTTTGGCGTCGCCGTGCCGCGGACCCAGCGAGGGTTCTGGGCGAGCAGGGCGTCGAACCAAGCGACTCCGTAGCGTTGGAGGCTGCGCTGCGTGTCAGCCGATGCGTCAACGCCCAGAAAGGCAGGGACACAGCAAGACTTACATGAGATCAAAGGCGTAGAGAACGGCGTCGTCATCGTTAGGGTAAGTCAACGCGAGCTTATTCTTGAGCTCTGGCTGGAGGTAGTCGTCCCATTCCCTGAGGGTGATGCAGCTTCTTGGTGTTGTAGATGGTGGACCAAAATAATATCACTATTCCGTACCAGGATGCGCCGACAGAGTCCTTATAGGCTGGTGTGATCTCGTCAACTCCCAAAGGTGCGTACTTCAGCAGAGCGCCCTCGTCCGCCCAGCGGGGATAGTCGTGGACGGTCTGTAGTATGATCGAGTCGACGGTGACGTTTCCATTTGCCAGTCGTCATCGAAAGCGGCGTCATGGTACTTGGAAAGGTCGACAGTAACGTTGAGAGTCATGCCAGGAAATCGCGCCACAAACGCCTGCTTGAGGGCGTCTTGCTGGTTCGTCTCGTCGCCGCCGTGCCACGGCGTAACAACGCCGTCTTCAGCAAGGGCAGCGTCATGGATTTCATCCAGCGACCTTGCCTCAACCTCCAGAGTGGAGTTGAACCTGAAGAGCGTGTTGGCGAAACAAAGTTGGGTGCCAATTATCAGGGCACCACAGAGCTGTGAGAGGGTTGAGGGCATGATGTGATGTAGTGGAAGAGAGTGGGTGGGAGATAACGCTTGTTCGGCTTCACGTGTATCCAACACTCGAGGCCAGAAATGCTCTGGTGATTTTATAACTTCCACAACATATGATGAACAGGGTATCCTGCCTGACGTCGATGATCCTGCTGTTGTTGCCTTGACATCGCGCGGCTAGCTCGACTTGAACGCTTTGAATTCGACATTTAACGAGTCAGAGGTAGTGAGACATCGCGATGCCCAGGTTCCTAGGGTGCTGTTTTAGCTGCTCTGGTCACATCTTTGGCATAAACTAGGCACCATGATTCAGTTTGGCTTGCCGCCATCTCCGAGTTCCGGCATGGGGATGTTGCGGTTACGGGACGGGCGGCCAAGCTTGATCTGATAACCTAAGGTAGGTAGTCCGGTGCACTGCACGCTATCCCGGTCATCGGGCCGGCCGACGACACCAGTGAAGCGCATGACGTAGGCACATCAACCCAACCTTGGATACTACACGTCAATTGTGAATGACAAACCCAAAGTGTTTCCCGACTCACGCTATGTAACGCATGAATGCTGTGGCTTTAGCGGTATACTGAGGGATGATGTGAACAGAGCTGGCATCGGAACGTTCCGAGGGCTCGGAACACGAAGCTATCTATCAGATCCCTTCTCGTATTTGCCCTTCGTCAACGGTTTACCCAGACAAGAAGGCCCATTGAAAGAGATATATGGCCCGCTGGACGGAACTGTCCAGAGACTGCATTGATACTCTGATCAGGGCACACACTTTGCTTCGGCGGCCGTCGCATGACGATGGGTCACACTGCTTGATATCGAATGGGCGAAGTCCAACTTGCACTGCAGTCCACCCAAGAGTCAAGTATCTCTGTTGCTATCGTTTAGTCGGCAATTCTCTCAAGCAATGTACAACTGCGTGCTGTGGTGTGAAAGGGTCAGTTGGTGCGAGGACGAAGAGCACAGATTCATCATCCATTCCATTCAGACACTCTCCAAAATCGCCTTGATACTTCATGCCAGACCACAAGTCAACCAAAATATCCTGCATCTCATGATGCTGAATTCTAGCTTCATGAACCACCACCGACCCCAAGTGCGCCTACAAGTTGTACCGAAAAGTGTCGTCATAGTCACTAAAGCCCACGTTGGGCTGTTCCGTAACCATGGGAAGCCTCGTCGCCAACCTCTCCCTACGCTTCGCATTCACATGCCGCAGTGCCAAGACGTGCAGAACGACAAGCACGATCCCAAATGAAGCGAAAGCCGTGTTGATGCGCACGCCTTTGAGATACCGTGGCGCGCTCGAAGTGGTGAAGATTTGGCCAACAACGATGCCTGAGCTGTTCCCCACGCTGTACACGATGCCGAGCGCCGTAGCACGCTTGAAGTGCCCCGCGAAATTGCTATTTAGCCACACAATGCAGAGGCCACACTGTCAAAAGAAACATTAGTGAACCGGCCATAAGATCACTTTTGTTGACATGGCTTACCGTTGCGTAGACGCCTGTTCCGAGGCAAAACACTGCCGCGAGGCGGACTCCTATGGTCGTGCTCGCGAGCATCATCGTGTACCCAGTGATGAGCGCCACACAAGCGCCGATGATGAAGGGGCTACGCAGCCCTATACGGTCAGACGCCAAGGCAATACCGATATAAGCGACGGTGGCCCAGAGGTAGACCGGCACCGTGAGTAGCTGGGCCTTGACACTAGCGTACCCCAATCCTCTTATGACGGCAGGCAAGAAGGTCATGAAACTGAAGAGCGAAAGACTGACGCAGAACTCGAGGACGGCGTGCAGGTATAGTTTCGGGTCTTTGAAAGCGCTGAACACTTTGGCCCATGAGAACTTGTCCTCGAGAGAGAGGTGAGGGTTCAGTTCGAGACGAAGTCGCATGACTTCGCGCTCCTGTTCGTTCAAGAACCAGACGGTCCGTGGATCCTTGGGGAAAATGGTATAGAGAACAGGAACGCAGGCAATGGTGATGATGCCTTCGATGATAAATAGCCAGGACCAAGAGGGCAGGCCGCCTGCGTTGATGTTGGAGACGGCTGAGGCTAGCAGACCCCCAACAGCACCCGCCAAAGCGCTGAAGCCGTACATAATGGCAGAGCGCAGGGACATCTCATTACGGAGATAGACCATGCCGATGTAGGCGTTGATGCAAGGTATCAGTCCGGCTTCGAACGCACCAATGATCAGGCGGCAGGCGTACAGCTGTTGGACGTTGGTGATGAAGCCCATGCCGAGGCAAGTGACGCCCCAGCCGAGCATGCAGACTGACAGTAGGTTTTTTGGTCCGACGACTTTGAGGGCAATCGAACAAGGAGCCTCGAAGGCAACATAAGTCGCGAAGAATAATGTTACTGCGTTACCAAATTCATTGCCTTTGAGGCCCAGATCTTCGGGGAGCCCCATAATATTGGTGTTGCCCTTCACAACGAGAGATTCGTGTAAGTTATCTTAAAGGTCAGAATACGCAGCTGCGGAGACCGGCGACTCACCAGGTTGTTTCTGTCCAGATTCGCCATGAGATACATGACTCCAAAGCATCCCAACACAACTGCGTCGAGCTTAAGCATGACCCGTTTTTGCAAGACTGGATCAGTAGCATTGCTCGATTCCGCAATCAAACTCCCAGCCGTTGGTGTGGTGGTCACGTCCCCTTCTTTCTCGTCAATCTTGAGTGACATGACGGATGAGACGAAGGATAATCTGGGCAAGAAAGAGTAATTTTGAGGTAAGTGAGACGTATAATGTCACAAGACTGCGCCTACTTCTGTAGATCGATTGATGTTTGACTCCTCAGGCTTGATGAGTTCTCCTCTTACCGTATCCTTCGCGAGGCGTCACCTCAATATATCTACACCAGGCCATGGGCATATTGGCCCGCGGTCCATGTGCTGTGCCCTCTATCGAGATCTACCATCCGAACGATGCTCAGCGCATGCCTACCTATCAATACTCCGCCAAGAATCTGGGGGTTGACCTCGGTGTTTCTCAAAGACCGGGAATCTTATCTTGACGTGGGGTAAAGGCGTCGCCATATTCGAGCCGATAAGAAGGCTATGATCTTTAGGAACGAGAGGATCAGGTCCCTGTGCACTTATGAGTACTTCGAGATACCTGTGACGCTGAGATGGAGGCATATTTTCTGCCCGATGCAGTCAGGTCAGGGTTGATCTGCGGGCTTAGGGGGACTCGGCCACTTGCCCGCGGCGCCGTCTTATCGCCCGGCGGGCAGACTGTTCCGCAGTCGATGATCGCCTCCGGCCGGCCGCAGCTTCACAAATTTGCGACTGGCGTACCAGATGGCGACAGGGGAGAAAGGGAGGGTTCATAGACATCTTTGCTCGTGCTGTTGAGGACAGGCAGCATGTCGATATCAAATTATCTGAACCACCGCATCTGTTCGACAGAGACAAGGGAGGGCACAAAATCTAGTTAGCCAGAAGAGATAAGCGAGCAAGTGTTCTGTTCTGGAGTGGAAGTCAATGTGAGGAATTAGATCTTGCTGGCACCATGCTCATCCAAAGACCACCCACTCTGATGCTGCAGGATCCGAAGAATGATCTCCCTCCACTTTCATCTGAGCACAAAGTTTGGCGGACTGAAGGTGTTCTAATGAATCAGCAGGTGTTGGTGGCTTGGTTGAAAAAGAGTGAAGGGGGTTGATGGACGGCAAGTGGTTTGTGGGCTACGTTGCCCCCTCGCAATGCAGCAACATAGGGTGATGGGAGAACCGAAGTTTGCTGACACTTCTCCTGAGATATTGCAAGATGAGTAAGTGCTGGAAATCATATATGATAGAACCCCCGAGTACCTGGATTTGAGGACGAAAGTGGAAGGATATTTTGTTACTTGCTCTCGTCTGGAGCACGACCATGGCTCCTCGTCCAGGCGCACCTAGTTGAATGGGCAACTGGTTGAACAAACTGCTATAGATGGGTGGCACTTATCAAGACTTGATCACTAATTCTAAGCTACCTACCTACTTAGGTACCTAGGTACCAAGGAAGTAAGGCTGGTAGGTAAGGTACGATGGGGCCTTGAAAGGGCTTCCCCACGGTACCGTGCCTTAGGTGATGGGTGGGTTCCGTAACGGGTGAGGAGTGAGGTAGCGCCAGCCAGCGATGAATGAGATTATCGAATGGCGCCCTGATAAGCACTACCTGTAGCCGTCAATACCTATAACGGAGTACTTGAACTGCGGAACGGATGCCACCTGTTGATGAAGTCTCCAAGCCCTTTGATCCGAGAAAAGCACGCCATCGCGGGTGGATCCATCCTGACCAATGATAGATAGGTTGCAAAATCACGACATTTCACGTGACCAGAAGATGGCCCAGCACGAGGGCAATGAGCAACTATGCGGCTCTCTGGTGGCTTTCTCTTCCTGCAACCTCATTTCATCTTCTCAATGTTTGTGTAGGATGATTCTTCGTTATATTTGCTATTCATGTTTACCCTTATTGGGTCACACGACTTGAGGATGTTGAACTCCGGTTAGTCGCCGATCAATCTGCCACGGTCACGACGTCCTGCGCCATCAATGCCGACACGAAACGAAATTCCATTGCACGCAGCCATCTCTCAGATCATGGCGGTTTGCCAAGTAGAACTCCCCAGCACGCCTTATCAATATTCAAATTCGAATCCAAACGCCGTCCTTATCGATCACGTCACGTTATGGCTCACGGACTCGGCAGGCGACGACCATGTGCCGAGTAGTAGCCACATTTGGGTACGTGGCTACGCTTGCCCGTCTCTGGGTTGAAGACATTGCAACCTCCCTTGGCGACATTAGGTGGTGTGTACACTGGTAGTCCCAGTTGTCAGTCAAGTCGATGCCGCAATGTCAAGCGATGGAAGAGGGGGGAGGAAGTCACGCACGGTGAAGGGACACAGCGAAGTCGCTGCCCTTGTTCCACACACGATGGACACCAAGCTCGTCCGCCATGTAGGCGCAGTCATCTTCCTTGTGCGTTCTTTCAGACACAACCTGCATGGGTTTGTCTTGATCACCATTCTCGGGGACGGCATATCGGGTTTCGGTCAAGTCTCCCTTGAGGATCTTCATCAGGCAGTGGGCATTGCCATGGTCATGGATGGGACTGCCCTTGCCTGGCGACCAGACAAGGACGAGCTGTCCTTGGGGGTTAGATGCTATTCGATCCCGACGTGGTTTTTACGACTATCGGTCTAGGACTTACGAGGTTGCTCTTGCCGTTGCCATCATCGACGAGGTTTCTGGTGTATCCCCTTGATGCGTCGGCGAAGGCGTACTTGGCCCAATCCTCCTCAGACGAGATGTAGTCTCGCATCAGAGCGGCCAAGTAGTCGACGTCGATGTCGTCCGAGTCGAGACCCGACGACGGCCCAAGGGCTGTTTTCAACGCCTGCACAAGACGATCGAACTTGTTTGCATCGGCCTTGGAGGAGCCGTACCCGAAGGCCGAGTGGATCTGGTTGATGATGTCGATGGCCATGGTTGGGAAGATGAAGTAGATGTTGGGGGGGCTTGTTTGGTTCAAAGGTTGATCAAATGGCTATGGAACGATAGCGGTGATGAATGAGTCTTGGCTGGGAAGCGGGGGCAGATGAGGACCGTCGACTGTCCTTTGCTTTCACACTCGCCGCTGGCTGGGGAAAACGAGCGACCTGGGCGACCCGACAATTCGACGTGGGCGGAAGGGCTCGGAGAGACTGGATGATCCAATGGTCGTCGACACTGGGGTGGTGTGGGGCAGAAGTGGACGTTGACTCGGGCTGAGTGGTCGGTGGTGCGTACTCGCAGCGCCAGCGATACGGAGATTGTCGTCGGATCGATTGGAGGTCGTGCGGAGGGCTGCGGCAAAAGGGTTCCTCGTGATCAGGGGTGCGACGCATAAGGTCATAGCCTGCTTGGCGGGGAATGCGGTGTGCCCAGTTTGGTTGGCGGCAGAGATGGGAACTATGTGGAGGCAAAAGCCGTCGATAGACGATGGAGGCCGTCGTCGGGCGTCTTCTGTTTTTCGTCGTTGTCAACGTATTGGTATGAGCAAGTTTGAGGTCACAAAGTGGAAATGGTGGCCGGTTTGTCGGCAGCTTCCGACAGCGGAAACAACGCATGCGAGGTTTTGCTGAACAGTTGCACACTAGACCCTGAACCGCTACAACGGTCCAATTTTAGCAGCCTTTGTTGGGCTTGCGTCACGGGTCTCCGCCGATTTAGCGCCGAAGTTCGCAGTTTTGTGATTGAGTCTCCAAGGCGGACGGCGGGGCCGATGGCGAGTGGAGTGCAGGGGCCGCATCGGCGCCGACCACCATGCGATCCACATCGAAGACCATTGGGGATATGTACGTAAAGTAGTATGCCTTTGGTCTGATTCCTGAATACGGAGTCAACTCTCGGTCCATTCGAGTGTAGATAGATGGAGAATTATGCTTGCGATGATCTCAAGTGTGCCATAACAGACTGCAATTGGATGCACAACGCCACTTTGGGCGACGAGCGAGCACTACAGAAAATAGCACTCATCGGCCAAGGACCGACGCACGATGCCATCACGTTCAGAACAGGCACAAAGTAACGAGATGTCAAGATGCGCTTACGCGGGACCTGGATCGAGCTTTGTTCATGTTAGGCACACAGGCTATCATGTGAAGAGATGCGGAAAGGCAAGGGTCGGGAACATAAATCAGATTATGACCTCCCAGGGCGCCATGGCCTTTGGGCTCAAGGGGAAGGGCGCTTGCTTATGTAAGGTTACCTGGATCATATCGAGCTTTCTTCCCCAGCGTCAACATCGCGACACCGTGCCCTGTCACGACTATCCAATTCGAACCCAGTCCAACACTTTCGGTATCATCCACCCGACAAATCCAACGAACGGGCCCTTACCATTCAAATTCCTCGATGATTCACCGCCGCCCACCTCTCCCCCGAACATCCGCACGACCATGAACTCGCCACCGACACCAGTCAATGCGCGACCAACACGGCCAGATTTTACCCCTTCTGCCGATTTGCTCGAGGCCTCACTTTACGATTGTATGCAAAATCAAGCTGAAGCCACTCCGGAAGCAGATTTCGACGACAGCCGACAGGAGGGGCACAAATACCGCTGCGAGCTAAGTCGAGCAAAGCTGCCGCCCAAGGAAGCCATCCATTGTCGACAGCAGATCCAGATGTTGTCGTATTGGATGTGTGAGGGCTCGTGGTTGCAGGATCTGTTGAACGCCAACTTGGATGCCAACGACAACGTCAAAGACTGGAAAAAGTTGGTAACCGGACTCCGGAGCCTTCTCACATCGCTTGGGTTATCACTACCCGAGATTGAATCACGTCGACAAGTCGGGATTGACAATCAGCAATATTGGTTAATCGAAGCTACGCAATACGACGACACCTCGACACGACTGGAAACAAGTTGGCGGACAAGACAATTTTCGAGACGACCGAGACGTATTTCAAAGAAGCTGCCTGGACAGCTGCCACCGCGAGGCGCCGCATCTCTAACCGCTGATCGGGTATCCAATCGGACAAGATCCAAACCCCGACCAGCACTGCGGCGCAATGGGCGTTTACCGCCGCAGCGCTCAACGGCCGCGCTAGGTGGTTAGTCGGCAGTTCTTGGCTGTATCGCCTCGGCGAATGAACATCATTAAAGGACGAGCACTTCCCTCCCCGTCGGCCCAAAGTCCAAGCTCGTTGACGCAATATCACATCGTCATGACTGTCGAATACACCTCATCCCTCGACCGCGTGGTTCTCTTTCTCGGTAACTTTAAATTCGCCGACAGTGCTCTAAGCGGCAACAGCCTTCTTTCGCTGTCGGAGAACTCTCGATACGATTTCGAGCCTCCTCGTGACGAAGCCGGCACATCGACATCATGGCTGGGAGGCCAAGAAAAGGCCAGACATCAACTGGACCTGGTGTTGCCTGAGAATGATCACCAGTCTCCGTGGATGATCATGGAGTATATTCCTAGGATATTGGATCCCGGGGGTCATTAACGGCCCAGATGCCCCTATTATTCTCCTCCAAGTTTGCAGCGCATTGGCACACATGCACGCTAATAACATCACCCATCGAGATATGAAGCCAGCTAACATTCTCATACAAGACATAAAAGTTAAAGACAAAACACGACTAATTACCAAATTAGCGGATTTCGAAACTGCGAAAAAGCACCCTGGGGATTACTTGGACACCTTCACCGAAACACCCATGTACATGGCTCCCGAGTTTCTCAAACGACCCCTACGCTACAATAGCAGCTGCGAAATCTTCTCCGTGGGCATCATCGCGGTACAGCTTCTTACCTAATAGCAACCTCAATCCGACGACCGGTGGATTACAGCTCAACTGCAGTCTATTGATACGCACTGGACTTGGATCCGTCAGACTATCCTGCCGAAGGTCTAGGGAGAGCTTAACACGTGATAGATTCCTTGCTTGATAATGAACATGACGTAAAACAACCGATGGCTTGAGGGATGGCCGATAAGGATGGCGCTCGTAGTGGATGATTTGCTGCATCTCCGCATGGACGAAGCACTGTTGATGAAGACCGGGACGGTCCAATCCTTTGAAGGCTTCCAATGGTACAATCCGAATCTGGCTGAACAGCGCTGTATAGTCTCCTTGCGATTCGGACAAGATCTTGACAAAAGAGCCGACATCGAGCAAGTCTATCGACTTGGCGGATCTCTGGAGCCTCTGCTATCCTTGACGGGAGTTCCAGGGCCTTGAGATAGTCTTCAACGGATTTATTGCCTCCAAAGCGTGCTACTACGGCGCATTGGCGAACAACAGTCTTGATGACATTGTGCCTATCGCTTCTATCCGTTCTGTGCTTCAACAGAGACAACAGGACAACAAGTTCCTGAGCCTCCTTGAGAAGGAGATCAACTTGTGGGAAGCGATTGTATTGCTTTCGGATTGCGTTCAAGGTCCGAACGATTCGATCTCCGTGAATTAGCTGTACTCCTCTGATATGGGAAGCCTTGGGTAACTAGGCAGGACGAATACGGGACAGGATCCGTCGCTCATCAAGCTGAACCACCTCTTCAAGCAACTGATCTTGAAACTCGCTGCGAGCTTTCTCTAGCGCCATCCATGGTTAGCTTCGTAAAACCTGTGACAGAAGATGTGACGCACTGGTGATGGAGTATCGACTAGCAATTGCTAGCATTCGTCGCAGTCCTCGGTGTCCGAAGCTCCATCACCGCCCAGGATCTTGCTCGCGCTCTCAACTGTCTGCGATCATGATCGTGGCTCACGAGCGCGATGATCTGACTGCGACTTCCAGCAGACGGTCCAAACCCCCTTCGCAAACAATATCCGGTCTCAAAGACTCCGCGTTTCGAACGCTTGTCGCGCCATGGATTCTTCCAAGTGGGGGATAAAAGGGGCAGGCTGGGCTCTCAACCCAACAGTGTCTGATAAGTGAGCTCAGCATAGCACGCTCCAACCCTGCTTCTACTTTCCCCTTATATCCACAAGCCAGCTCTCTCTCTCTCTATCTATCAATATGCCAAGCACTTCATTAACGACCCAGCACATCTCGTTGCTACCTCTCTTCGAAGCCTGACCATTACGAAGCCTTCCGTTGCCCTCGACGTAGAGCACAAAGCTGCATATCGTCGTACCTTGCCTCATGCTGGTCCGCAAGTATCGATCGTCTCTGGCGGCGGTTCAGGCCATGAATCCTCCTTTTCCGGCATGGTCGGCGAGGCATGCTGACTACTGCTGTCACTGGCACAATCTTCGCCAGCCCTTCGGTAGAGCATATCCGGACCGCCATTGCTTCACTCGTCAATATCTCGCAGTACGTCTTAATCACTGTTACGAACTATACTGGAGACGTATTGAACTTTGGCATGCCCGTTGAGAGGGCCAAGGCTGCGGTGACAGCCGCTGAGATGGTCGGTTGGACATCCACGCTGAAGAAGAGCAGTTGCATATTGTCTGAATACACCGGCTCGTCCTGGCGATCGCACCCTACTCGAAGCTTTGCACCCATTTGTAGAGGTGCTTGGTTTGACGGGGAACGCCAAGCAGGCCGCTGATGCCGAGCTCGAGGCAGCTCTGGAAACCAAGGGAATGCAGGCCAGTCTTAGACGAACAGTTTACGTTGGCGGCAGCGGACACCAAGAGGTTCTTGATCCTGGAGCTTGGGGTTTGGCGACCTTTTACCAAGGCCTTTCACGTGGCTGATAGTTCCTGGATGGCCCAGAAGCTTTTGGGAAGAAGCTCGATCTCGAACCGTGGTCATATTACTAGACCTGATACTTGAAATACTGGTCCAAATTCCTTTGGTGGATATATCAATCTCCTGAAATAGGCATGTTCAATGCCTTGAACGACAACCATTTACTTGCCGCGAACAGAAATCCGTCATGAAGCCCACCTTGTTCTTACTCCATCACGTTCGTTGCAAGGTCCAAACCCCAGCTCACATCCGCATCTGCACCTGCGCTCCCGACCACCGCACCGGCCTTTGCGCGAACAACGATCCCTGAATCTGCTGCCGAATTATGTGAAACAGCTCGTCGCCACACGTTCCAACTGTCGGAATATTTTCACGTGTATCATTGTCGTAGCCGTCACCATTTGGCGCAGGTTTACCATCGTCGATGCCCTTTTCGGCAGAGGAACTACTGTTGTCACGGTTATCGCTGCTGTCGCCAACTGCATCTTCTTTCTCAGAAGAATCACGTTCAGCGACGGGCTCGCTTTCTCCACAGTTTGGGCTTCGGAGTCGACGCGGCTCCAGCGGCGCTCGTGGCATGGCCAATCACCCTTTCGTCCTTGACGGCTCCCTTCGAGATCTCGCCGTCCAAATCAGTACCACGTGGTTCATACGAACCGTCTGCAGCACCAGAATTCACGGCCTTGGGGATGTAGCCAGGTGCCGGGTTCGTCACCTCCTCGAGCTCTACCTCCGGCGGACCTTCAAAGTCTCCGTCCTCGCACCTCGACTGAATGACTTTGCACAGCTTCTCGTTCCACAAGTCGCAGTTCTTGACGCCTGTCGGTGGCGTTGGGTTGAAGCACTTGTCGCCCTGTGCGAAGCAGGCCTCGACGGCCGCCCAGCATCCGAGATCCGTGTCGTAGGGCTTTAGCGCCTTTCCACACCAGTTGGCGTTCTTGAGCTTGCAATCGCCAGGGATGGCGCCTTCAAACGCCGATTCCTTGAATGTGGAGACAGTGGATGAAGAGGAGGAGTCAGCTTGGGGAGAGTACGGCTCCGGCCCAGGGATAAGGTACGGCCACTTTGGCTCCCAGACGTCGAATGTGTTGCCCTTTTCCGAGCCGTCGACATGGCCAGGGATGCTGACTTTGTACTTGTCCGGCACATCGAAGGTTCGAGGTCCTTCCTCTACATGTACTTGGGCGCAGCTGACATAGTATTGAGGGTCCCCCTTGCTGTGCGCTTGGTGCAGGGCAAGAATCTCAGAGCGAACGAGATAGTTGCCCTTGGCGAGGCCAGAGGGGAGCTCGAAGGAGAGGAGGCCCTTGTTGGCAATGAGATTGTCGACGCACCATTTGCCAGTATCCTCATTGTAGCCCTCGTGCCATAGCTTTACCCAGCCGGCTCCTGAAGCTGGATCGTTCAGGGGGTCATCCACCTTCTTGACGTAGATGGAACAGGGCCCAACATGGGACGGATCGATGGCTCCAGGGTTACTTGCGTCGGGCCAGGTGCGGAACTCAAAGGTCAGTGTCGCGCCAGCGGGAGCGGGACAGACGAATGCTGCCGGTGTATCACCGTTTGCGCCTAGCATAGGTAGTTAGCACTGCGTCGAAATGGTTGGAGATATAGCAGGAAATGCATCGTACCGCAAGCCATATCATCACTCTCGAGGCCGTCAACTGGAGAAGTGGTCTTGCTACCGTCCTCGGGCATCCGAAGACAAGTTCCATCACCCTGAGAGACCTCGTCAATGTAGAGCTTCGAGAGAAGGGTATGCGCAGTCGCCAAGGGAGCTGCCGAGACCCCCAGGGCGAGCACCACGGCGGCCTTCATGTTCATGGTGATATCTTTGTACAAATCAGATTGGCGTGGAACAGCGTGCTACGTGCAAGGTACGATGATAAGAAGTAGCAAGGGAAGAGGGCGACAAAAGTAGTTGTACACTGTTCAACAGTGTTCTGCCGGGCAAAGTAATAGAAGAGTAAATGAATGAAAGAATCCAAAAGCCCGAGGCTTGGAAAGAATAGCGGCGAAGATGGATGAGTGAAATGACAGTTGCCGAAGACCTAGAGGTCGAAAGAGGATGAGGAGAAACAGATCAAAGTCATTGTTAGCGATCATGGACCAACTTTTATATACAGTGCCCTCGGGTTCAAACATGAGGATAATCTGCCGACAGGCCATTTGAACAAGATCGAGCACAACCCCATCATCACACGATGTGTTGCACATAGCATCCAGCAGCCCCTGAAATGAGCGTCTCCTGATTGATTCGCGCCACCGCGGCTGCAGCATAAGCAACACGCATTCTCGTGGCGCGCTCTCTAGCCGAAGGGCAGAAGGGTCGTGCCGTCGTCTGCAAGCCTTTTAGCAGGCCGAAAATGCAGCCCTTTCCCGTAGTCCTTCGCAGCCGATGGCGTACTCTAGCATCCTATCAGGCAAGACAGGATGAAACGAGCGATTTCGTCTCGTAGCAACTCGACTTACTTTGTCATTCGAGGGCGCTCATCCAACACTGAGGTGGAGGGATGACGGCCTCGCTCAGGGGGCGATGAACGGCCTCTGGCTGGCGATCAACCTGAGCCTGCGTACTATCAGCGGGTCAAATGGCAGCGAGTTGATGCTTACCACAAATCTTAACATTGTGATGGATGACCTGCTGAACGATCGTCGTCGTCGTCGTCTCTAGCCCGCGCCTCAGTCTTACCCCGCAAGCCTTGTAAACGTCAGACGGCACGATGCCTTACTCCGGTCGAGCTAAGGCACGAAGCCGACGGGTGCTTTCAACTCAACAAAGCAAGGGAACCTTTCTCGCGACGTATCGCCTGCAGTCACGGCAGCCAACCTTGGCGCCAGACGCGCCCCCTCCTTCGAGACAAGGCTGGGAGTCACAAGCATGGCCGCTTGCTCGGCGAAAGGAAAAGTACGGAGGGCCAATTAACAGGCGACGATCATCTAGGAGGCACGACTTCTGTCAAGAAAACCCGATTGGGTGACCCCGAGCATGTGGCTGTCGGGTGTCCTGCAAGCAACCGCGCGCCCCTGATTCTGTCCGCTGTACTTGAAGCAAGTGGCAAGAGAGGCTGAATGGTTGCCGTCTCTGCGCTGGCAGCCGTCGACGCTTTTTTTCTTTTTTCCTGAGCTCCAACCTGCGCAGGGCCGCCACGGGTGATCGATTTGTGAGCACACCTTTGGCTCTCAAAAGAGTGCTAGGCTGTGAAACAATCACCTACGGACTTCCCACTCCTCGGAACAAAAAACACCAGCTTCATCGATATGGTAGGTGTAAATAAAAGAAGTGAGCAGAGTTAACTTCGATTGGCGAGGTCGGGCTGACGACCAGTCCACCCGGGAAGACTACTTCGCGGCTGCACGCCACGCGCCGTACATTACAATACACCGGGAATTCTATGCCAAAGCCGAAATGTCCGCCCCCGAAAATCGTTTCCATCTTTTGGTACACCGTGTTTTACATTTGTCTTTGCTAGGGCTTTTCGTAGTGAAGGGGTATCGTTTACTCGTTGATCTTCGCCAGGATCCTAGAGCTGTGTCAGTCTTCTAAAGCGTATCATAGAACGCAACGCGCCACTGTGCACCCGAGAACGGAAGGGGCCAGATTAACTCACTCGCTGTCCCGGAACAGGTGGAACTCCTCATCACCGACCTTGACGGGGGAACCGCCGAACTGCAAAACGAGTCAGTCACAACAGCTCCGAACTTAAGGGGCCTAGTGTTGGCCCCTTAGCAGATGGCGATACATACCTGGGGAATCAGGACACGATCACCAGAGTTGACACCCATGGGCAAACGCTGGCCGTTCTTGTCGAGGGCACCGGGGCCGACGGCGAGAACCTTGCCCTCGTTCAGCTCCTTGACGCTGGACTCAGGCAGGAAGATACCGCTGGCGGTCTTGGTCTCGGCCTTGACGCGCTGAATCAGGACGCGGTCGAGGAGAGGAGCGAGAGAGCGGATGGAGCGGATAGAGGTGGCCTGGGGGAGGTGATCAATACGTTAGCTTGCGATCCTGTTGCTGTTGGTCGTATGGCGCATTGTCATCTGTAGAGTAGTGGCTTGAAGAGCGGAGCGCAATTGTCGAACGATTGTCGAAAGCCATTGAAGTGCACCAAACGCAAGATGGAGAATGACGTACCATTGTAACGGTATTTGAGCTGTTCTACGAGGAGAGAGGGCGTGGGATGCGGTGACAAAGGATGTTGATGATGTGGTTTAAGGTGTTGTTGTGTCAAGGACAGTTCTTTGGTCTGAAGCTATTCAGTTCCAAGAGCTTCCAGAATCCCCCATTTGCCCAGCAACAATTTTTTGGGTCCAAGCGGCCCCTCGCTTTTTCCGAGGTCCGACATCGTAGCACAGTGCAGCTATAAACCACGATGGCGACTCGCGCACCGTGCCCATGCCCCTTTCTCGGACGTATGGAGTTCCCCTTAACAAACAGCAGCTGGTCAGAGCCTCGTCAAGATTCACGGCCTGTCATTTCAAGCCATTGAATCTACATATCTATCACAACCCGCAGTCCCAGTTCTTCTCAAACACAAATAACTGTCGTTCGCTCTACCAAATTCCTCCGGATTCTATACCCCGTATCTTCTGCGCTTGACTGACAATGTAACCCGCCGCCGAAACCTGGTATGAGTCGAATACAACCGAACGCCCCCACCAATATCCCCATTAACTTCTCTTCCCATACCCTTCGTCCTGGGTGTCGGAACCACCCTAGTTCCCGGGTTGCGGCTGAGGAAACTCTAGAATGTGTGTATGGCCTTCAGCCAGCTTGACCTCGCCGCCAGGTCCAAACTGCTGGCAAATGTCACTATTACCGATCCAAGGATCTTTCAATATCTCCTCCATCTTGGCTCGCTCCTTAGGGTCAACCTGGAGCATGCGGCTGATGACGTGCCGGCTCTCCCTGGGAAGGACACGCAGCACGCGCCACGGGCCTCGGATCGTGACCGGCTTTGGCGCGGTCTCCGACTTGGCAGGCTCAGGTGATGCAGCTCGCTTCTCTGATGGTGGTGCGTCACCATTGTTGTTGGCTTCCGCAGCGGCATCTCCCTCAGTACGCGATGTGTGGCGAGAGTGACCGTGGTGGTGATGATGGTGGTGCTTCCTTTCGTGCTCCTCTTCCTCGCCGCCGAAGAAGTCCCGTGCAGGGGTGTTGGACAGGTCGTTCATGGACCGCGATGGCAGGACGAGCTTCTTAGGGTCGTGTCCAGGCGTGGGCTCGGCAGCAAAGAGCTTGAATGAATTGTCCGTCATTTTTGGGACCTTCCACGGGAATCGACGCAGCGACATGCAGCAGAAGATAATCGCGAGTGACCAAATGTCCACAGCCTCTGCGTCATACTTGCCTCCGGTTAGTACCTCGGGTGCCAGGTAAGGGTCGGATCCAACGATTCCTGCCAAATGTCAGCGTTTCAAACCTTCAAAGTGCGACAAAGGGCTGACCTACCAGTAGCTTTGATGATACTGCTCTCGAATGGGTATTTGAAGACGTGAGAGCTGCCAAAATCGATAATCTTCATGATGCCCTTGTCGCTAACGACAACGTTGTCTAATTTGAGGTCGCGATGCGCCAGACCCGAGCTGTGGAGGTACGTGACGCCATTCAGAATTTGCAAGAAGCAGCAGGTGATTTCGGCGCGGCTCATCTTGCCCGTCATGACAATGGCGAAGAGGTCGTAAGGAGCATACTCCATCACTTGGTACCAACGCTCCTTCTCTTGCAAAATGTCGAGCGTCTCAATGATGTTGCCGTGGTGGAGCGTCGACCCGACACAGAATTCTGCCGTCAATCGCTTAACATATTCTTTCTGCGTTTCGTACCCATAACGCTCCCGGAACTCCTTCACCGCGAACACAACTCCATCGTCGTGGCGCTTCATAAGCCTGACTTTACCGCCAGCTCCGGAACCGAGAACCTTGCCCAGCTTTCCATACTTTGATATCAAGCCATGGTCATCGCCAAACGGCTGTCGTTGTGGTCCGGACCGCGAGGCTGGGGGCGTCCGAGTACCTGAGCTCTGGCTTGTCTGCGAAGGGTCTCTCTTGGCCTTGTGGTGGTTGCCTTTTTTGAAAAACCGCTTCAGATCCGCGAAAGAACCCTGCTTAGCATGCATGCTGGCCGAATCACTGTCCTGTATCTCTTCTCGATGGTGCCGGCGGCCACCAAAGAGTGTCGAGTGACGTTTGTCGTTGTTTACGAGACTAGTGGTTGAGTTCGAAGGAGAGTGTTGCCCAGGCTTCCTTTTACTGAACTGGAACCTCGACTCGACGTTGTTTCGATCAGTAAACTTGTTCAGCGGCTGACGCTTGTTGGCGGCATATGGATCATTCGCATCTCCTTGAGGCGTCAAGGGTTTCGAGTAGAACTGTGAAGCGCGAGAAGGACTAGATTCTCGCGAGACGGGCGTCGATCCTCCAGGTCCGATATCGAATAGACCGCGACGATGAGACCTATGATGTGTATCATCGCCATGGTCTCCGCCTTGTGGAACCTGGTCGCTGGAAGTTGAACGGGGAGCTGTTCCCCTTCGAGCGGAATGAGGGGATGTGCCGTCGTGTGAGGTAGATGCCTGCGGCGTTATAGCAGACGTGTCGTTGCCAGCGGTGCTTTTGCCCTTGGCAAGGGCATCGGTACCCGAGGGCGTCAAAGGCGGAGACTGCATTTGCTGCACTGCTGGACCTAAATGGGGCGATCCTCGGCTTGGGGTTGGCAAGCGTGTCGAGCCCGCGGACTCGTCTTCATGAGACGGAACCTGTGAGGTGTTGGGGTTAGCAATGGGGTGTAGAAAACTAAGCCAACGTAAGACACCTCCTAGATGACATGTACTAGAAGTTTCATGGGCCGAGAACAATCACATGAAAGCTCTGTAGCCATGAAGTATTCATGTTCACATAGCCGAGAAGTGAGCGCAGATGAAGCGCAGGCGGCGTGATGTTCCTGTGAAGTCGCATCATGGACACTCGATGGAGTGGCACGGCTTGTCTGAAACAGCCTAGAATGCTCAACTGGGCGGGGAAGAAAGGCAAGCTACGTACCCTCGAGGCGGGCAACGAGTAGGGGTCAAAGGCGAAGCGGCTGAGGCGCCGGCCCTGAAGATTCGTGGCTTGCAGCGATGTGGTCAGCTCCTTGAGCTGATCCGACATGACCTCTGAAATGGCATCAGTGTTTTCAGGGGCGGGGTTCGAGATGGTTGACGTCGGGGCCGCGGGAGCGATCTCCTCGACGGTGGGGGCGAAGTGTACACCTGGGTTCGCCTTGTCGGATGTGCTGTCGATGTCCTTCTTCTCGTTTGGCTGTGTGACAATGATGTTGTTGAGATCTGCATGTCGTGCGCGACGCACAAAGAGGTCAGTATGATCATGAGTGTGAAGGGGGGGCACATGTCATGGCTTCCTGAGTCGAAATAGATGCGGCCCGAGGGCGGGGTTTGCTCCAGGCGTGCAGCGATCCGGAAGTTGCGGAAGCGTACCTTGTGACTGTGACTCGGGTCCCTGGGGCCTCACATCGGCTTCGGAGGAAGCCATGCTGGCGAATTGGTGATTCTGTCGGTATAAAGCTGCTCAGAGCTAAGTCGATATCACGAACGACAGCATAAGCACATGAATGAGTTTCGAGCGAGGGTGGCGGGGAAAGAGACGAAATCAGAGAGGTCTAGGTCGGCATGAGGACCGGGTCTCTGGCTGATAAAAGATGGGATATCCACTAACCTCCCAGATTAGCACTAGCCTCGAAGCAGCAGTGCCGTGACGTCAATTGCGGATGGTGGGGGGCCCCTTCCGGACCTCACAGGGCTAAGGCGGGGATCGGCCGCGGTCCTCGGGGTGAAGCAGTGAGCCCAGCAGCAACCTTCCACATGCACCACGGGGCTTGATCTCTTTTTTTTCCTTCCAGGGGGCCCCCGGGGGCCAGGGGGCCCCCCCCCTTGGCAATTTTTACGGGAAACCCCCCCCCCCCCCCCCCCCCCAGCTGTTACCGCCCCCGGCGCCGCTTCCGAGCGCCCGGCAGCCCATGCCGCCCAGGGCAGATCCAGGGCCTGGATCCTTCATCAGACACCTATACGAACCGAAGCAATCACATCACGCCTCATCTCCATCAGCAACAAAATTGGCATCCTACACGCCCGGTCCTCATTCACGTCGATGCACCTCACGGACTGACTGCCACCAGAAAATTACGAAGCGGCGGCTGACGACAGCGGTGACCATCCGCCCTTACATCTGTCCAGCCAAGCAGAGGAGGTTATTAGCAAACGCGTCAGCGGGACGCCCTAATAGCCTGGCAATCCCCAGTTTTTCGAGTCTCGACCACTTCCAAAGGTCCATCCGATTGCATATCCAGAACGCCGATGACTCTTGTTGTACGTACAGAGCCTGCTGGAGGCAAACGCCTTCTGAGGGGCAAATTTTTTTTTTTTTTTTTTTTTTTTTAAAAAAAAGAGGCGAATGACCTTGCAAGACGAACAAAAAAACTCGACAAGGAAACAATTTTCTTCCCTCCCTCTTCAGCTGTTGCAGTGCATCGACCTGGACTCGAATGAGGCAAGCCAGTCATGTCCTAACACCGTCTGCAAGCGAGGCAAGCTGACTTGCATGTGAGCCAGGGGCATCGTTGCCTGCCACTTCTATTGCACTAATGGAAAATTCCAAGACCCTAGTGGTGTTGGGCTGCGGCTCTTAACATTCATAGGTCTCCTCACGATTACGACCCCTGACGTAAACGCTTGGGGCAGAATCTCGCACTGCTGCTGTGTTCGGCGTGGCAGCCACTTTCGGTGCCTGACGAAAACGCCCACGTTGGCGCGAACGGCATTTCCATGTGTCCAACTGAGGTGCTGCTGGTGACAGCCAGGGTCCACCTTGGAATGTTCTTCTGCATGACGCCGCCCGGCCCCCGCCATTCCACTACATTCCAATCCATTGACCTCCCTCGTTTGCTTGATGGCCAACATGCGCATGCGGCGAGTTGGCCATTGCCCACTCCGAAACACAATAAGCATGCCTTATCCTAGGTACGGCAAGGAAGTTTAGTCAGGCTTCAGGATAAGTATCGGACATACGATGTGTTATATAATTCACCTAGCTTGCTAACAAAATGGACTTCGCATTGCATGATAACACACCGGGTGTCTATCATGTGAGACGTGAGAATAAGTTGTCATGGAACACTATCTGCAAGCGTTGTGGCTCTGGAAGGTTGATACGCGGCCAGGTGAACCCGCTCCCGAACATCTCCCGAACGACGCCTTCGGTCTCAGCTGCGAGCGAAGGTCTGGACTTTGGTGGTGCGCTCCAGATAGCATCAGTCACGACAATTGCGACGTAGTCCCTTTTGCTGGAGATCGTTGATTTCAAGTTCCAAATCGTTCGCCTATATCGCCCCCAAAACCCTGCGACAAACACACTGCGCCTTTCAATGTTATACAGCGGCACATCATCTCGTGCCAGCCCGATGGTATACAGACGAACATCCTCCCCATGGCTCTCCTCCTTCTCTGCTTTGCGCCGGCTCATGTTGCTGTCATTGCAAGAAATCCGTTCTCCTCATGGTACAACATTGACGCCAATCGACCTCGCCTGGTAGATGATGGCTCGGCAAAGACCCCTCGTGCTGAGACCCGATAGACGCGGTTCGGTTTGCTTGATCTTTGCGATCTCGTAAATGTGCTTCAGGCTGACGGTGCCGACCGTCTGGTGGCCGGGGTTGCTGGCGCCTTTCCTCCGACCCTTCTGCCCGACCTCGACTTCGGCTGCGTTCAGAAGCAGCCACGAGGTCTGTGGTGTGCGAATGTCAAAGTGGAACGATCGGTCTCCGCGAACAATGACCCTGCAGGGCAGCGGTGTTCCGGTATTGATGTGTTGTGTACGCGCATTGAACTCCTACGAGATAAAAGCAGTCAGCGAGCCTGGGGCTGTTGTTGACGGTGTTCGATCCAAGCTCAACCAGCGTTCAGTAGTAGCTCACCTTACAGAAATCCATCGATTTGACACCCTTGCTACCCAGCGCCGGACCAACGGGGGGGCTGGGACTGGCCTGGCCGGCACCAACAATCAGCTTCACGAGCTGATCTCTCGCAACCTTTGACATTGTGGCGGCGGTACTCCAATCGCTGGTTGTTGATGGCGTGGGTGACGATCGATAGGTCGGCAACAGGTGGTTGATGTGCTTGGAAATTTTGGCACCTCGCGACCGCGCGCCCCCCCAGGTGGCACTAGCCACACATTCATTCCCCTGAAGCACAGCACCTCGGCGGGTCCGGGTCAAGCTCGGGTGCTAGGCATTGGCGCGTACGAATTCGGCCAGTGACTGCTGCCGAATCGACGATGGGCTCCACTATGACGGGACTTCTGGTTTCGTGCGCCACACCTTGTGCATTATCGCCCATATCTCCCCATCACTGAACGACCCCTCCACAAACGTCAAGGAGCGGTCACCCGGTGTTCCGTTCAACAAATCTTCCCTCCAGCCTCTTATTCTAGAGTAACACGGATATCCACTGCAACCCAGTACTTTAAAGCTTGTTCACAGGATAATACTTTCTTCTTGCTCCGTATCTCCATCCATCCCCCCAGGCCACCCTTTACGCCCATCCATCATTATGTTCAACTGGGCCAAGCAAAAGTACACTCCCAGCAGCCCTTTGCTTCGAGATTCACCCTAGGCTGACCGCATGACCAGGCTCGCCGATGTCGCGGGCACTCAGGAGCCTATCTATGGCCCTACAGCCATCAGGACCGTCGCTGAGGAGGCAAAGGAGACCAGCCATACCGAGCTCACCCGGGACGACCTGAAGTGGAAGGCTATGGACTCTACGTCCGTCGAGACTCAGAGCTTCTACTTGATGTCGGACGATGGAAAGCACCTCGCTCTCGCCCAAGTCATCTACAGCAATGTCGCGTGCGTCCATGACTGAAGCGTCTCAGAATGAATATTGTGCTGACTTTCTCAGTGGCATCCACACCACTGTCCAGTTCAACTCGAAGATCTTCTACCTCGATGGCTCCAAGCCCCACCTTTGGTGCTCTACGCAGCTGAGCAACCACGGCTTCAGCGAGGACAAGGCCAGCTTCTACGCCGATGACTGCGCACTCGATCTCTCGGAGGACGGCACAAACTACACGATCAAGAGCTTGAACGATCAGCGATCCATCGTCAACCTCAAGATCACTCGCAAGGCGCCTGGGTTCGTTGCCGGCAAGACTGGCAACACCTTGTACGGCACTGACCTCGAAAACCCTTGGGGCTCCATGCGCCACGCCTTCTGGCCGAGGTGCGCTGCCGAGGGCACCATCACCACCCCTGATGGCCCCATCGACTTCACCGGCAAGGCCTTCTACTCGTTCGCACTTCAGGGCATGAAGCCGCACCACGCCGCGGCGCGTTGGACTTTTGCCGACTTCCAGACCCCCACCTACTCGGCCGTCCTCATGCAGTTCGTCACCCCGCCTTCGTATGGCACCACCACGGTCACTATTGGCGGTATTGCCAAGGACGGTGAGATTATCATTGGCGGTGTCGACAGCACCGTCGCGCACACCAGGACCAAGACGGACTCGGAGAGCGAGTGGCCCGAGCCTGAGGCGATCAAGTTCACCTGGTCTGGTAAGACGAAGGACGGCAAAGCAGTGGAGGCTGTTATCGAGGGCGATCTGGGCCAGCGTCTCGACAGGGTCGACGTCATGGCTGAGGTGCCTGCGTTTGTCAAGAGGATCGTCGCAGGTGCTGCGGGAACCAAGCCATATATCTACCAGGTAAGCAGCTTCGCGAATCGGATTTGCATGTCGAATACGGGCGTCTAGCTAACAAGCACGGCAGTATTCTCCCCAGGAGAAGAAGCTCACACTCAAGCTGAAGATTGGCGACGAGGAAATCTCAGAGGAGGGCCAGCTGTTCAGCGAGGCCACGTTCATCTCTGAGGCGTAAGTCATGATTTTTACGTGCTCGATTGAGTTGGATTAGTATGCATGCCATTGGTTAAGGCGTTAATAGAGACGGACCGTTCAGTCGCTTCAGAACATTTAACTTCGATTGGTCTTGGCGCTGGCAGGGTCCTTGCCGAGCCTATCAGTACCACATTTTAACTAATACACTTCCGCTTGCCATGTTCCGAGCGTTTGTTTTCGGGCTTGGCGGCTTGACCAGGCTGCGTGAAGGCCGTAGTTCACGCTATATGGCACAATGTGCGACATGGCGACTGGTGAATCATAAACCCACTGCCCTGACGATAGGCGGGAAGAACCTTGTCGAGGATAGTTGTATCTGCATCCTTTGCCCGCCATGCCTAGAACCTGCAGGTTGCAGCTCAGGCCTTGTGCCCAGGAATCTGACAAGTTCCCTGCAAACAACCATCATGAGACGCATAGGCAGAAACGGTAGGAATTACTTTAGCTATCCACCATCGTCGCGGCTGCCTCCGTCTCTACCTACCTACCTTAGGTAGGTACCTAGGTAGGTAGTACTTCCTGCACACACGTACACTACGTCCCTTTGCCTTTTATCAAACGGCTACTTCGGTCTCGACTGCTCCCTCTGTCGCCAACGTCAAGTCCTTACACCATCTTAGCGACGTTCACTACTATTGTTGCTCTCACGACATCTTCCCCCAACCACTCACAGACTACTCAAGTACAGCCCACGTCGGTAAACACACCCTCATCGGTGGCTCCAGGCAGCGCCATGCCATTTCCTAGCGTCACTCAGAAAGGTGGACCAGCGGGGGTAGGAAGGGGCAAGTCTTACTTCGACGGTCCTCAACGCACGCGGTAAGTTCTTCTATACCTGGAGTCTCGCTCGTGTACCTGTGTCGATGCCGTTTCTGATAGTGGCTCATAGGAAGATAAAGAAGGACGCCATCCGCGGCATCAGTACGTACACGAGTTTCGAGCGCGAATCACACTAGGCACTGCAGAAAGCTGACTCGGTTTATCTCATTTCAGCTAAGCCGGACATTCGGTAAGTCTCTTACTTCGCTCTCGCGCTGGGTAGTAGGCACGTTGCTGGACGCCCTTGCCTCTCAGACTCTCCTAGACGCCTTGCCCACATTGTCGGTGGACTTCTGTTCCTTTTGTGACATGTGGTGACCTGCCTGCAAGGCGCAGAGGAAAGCGGCAGGGGCCTTCTAATTTCCGTCCAATATCTATTTTTCTCACTAATCGCCACGGCACAGACGTCTAGCTCGCCGCGGAGGGGTCAAGTTCATCTCCGGAACTATATACGACGACGTGAGTGCCACCTGCATTGAGGTAAAATTTCTTCAGAGAAGTAGCTGATTTTGCACAGATTCGTGAGGTCTTGGTAGCTAGGCTGAAGCTGGTACGTTCCCATATGCGAGGCATCGCGATGAACCGTACCCTTAGTGACCGCTGTGTCAGTAACATTTGCTAGATCATTTATGATTGTATCCAATATGCCGAGTATAGAAAGGCCAAGACCATCACGGTCCAGGATGTAGGTTGATACTAGCCTCGGTACATCTTCCAGGAGACTGCCTAACTCACCCCCTTGGATTAGGTTCTTTTCACCGTCCGACGCTTCGGACAGCCCCTCTATGGGTTTGATCCGGGCACGAACACAGAGTCCAGCCCAACGAAGAAAAGGTAACGGGCTGTCATTGATACATGATCACGAAACGATTCGGCCCCAGTCAGGAGTGAGCCGTGGCATAGAAGCTTTTGATCACTTTCACAGCCTGGACCAGGAGTCTGATCATCTTGTAGGGCTGGAATGGTCAGAATGTCACGGCGTATCCTGTTTTACATCTTTTGCTGGAACAAGTTGCCTTGTTCATATATTTGCTGTTTAGGCTGCGAAGGACCTTCTAACTGAGAAGAAAATATCATCGAAATAACCAAAACTGTCGTAACAGCTTGCTAACGTACGCTATAAACGAGGGGTATCGATGAGAAGTGAAGAAACAGCTCCACCAAAAGAAAGAGTGGACAAGAGTAAGAACACGAGGGCAGAGGGCACAAGTTCCACCACGACAGACCTTCTCCCTGTACTCGACACCGGAGTGGTGATTTTTTCAGAACACCGACCCCCATTATACGCAGCATATTTGCAGAACCATAAGTTCCTCCCAGAAACTCGTCGCCGTCAGTCGCTGGCTCACTTTCGTCGCCTGGCTGCCTCCCAATCCCCAATAACCCTCTCCAGTGCCATTGCAGCTCGCCGTTCCTGCTTCCGGGCTGCCACATTGAACAGCTCGGGGAGGACCATCTTGCTGTGCACATGCTCCAGCGCAAAGCCAACCTCAGCGTCGCGCCCGCAACGTTCCCGTGTCACACGAACTGCCTCGTGCAGCAAATCAGCACCGACACCACAGCCGCGCCATTTTCGACCCGTTGTCCACGCGCGAATGACACCTTTGCCACCACGCAGCGGTCCGGCGTTGCCACTGCTTCCCTTGCTGCGCTTCTTGCCGCCAGAAGGGGGTCCGGTGACGGAAAATCCGCCAGCAGAGAGAGCGAGGGATTGTTTCGGTTCAAGACGTAGTACAACAGCGGCAATTATGGTGGAACCGGAGCGCGCGGCGAGGAGAAAGTCCTCGTCACATGCACTGGCTGCCGTTGTAGTGCCAGCGCGGAGGGGCGAGGGAGCTGTGGGGTGCAGGTAGGATGGCGAGATGGAAGAAGCAAGACTTGCGTAAGGGAGGGTAAGGTAGTGGATGACGGCGAGACACGTGAGAAGAAAGATCGTGATGATTGCAATGGAGTGGGTGAGGCCGACGTTTTGATAGACACTTCGGGTTTGATGATGAACAACGGCGACGGCTGCGACGACAGCAGCGATACTCAGGGGATGGAGGATGAGAGACAGGGCAGTCTTCTGGCGCTGCTCGACGATCGATTCGGAGACGAGTTTCAGTGCTTGAGCCTTGTCTGCTGGGTGTGAGAGGATCTCAAGAGAAAGGTCTGGGATGTCGTCGAGAGGCGTCAGGGGTGGATCAGAAGCCTGGGAGGAAGGGGACGGCGGAGGCGAATAATTCGCCGCGGGCTGCAGAACTGGAGTATTTGTGTGTGAGATGGTGATAGGGTCAAGGGCCAGATTGGCGCGCAGAAAGGAGAGGAAGGCTGCGACGAGGTCAGAGTCAGGTTGAGACATCCTCGCCATGAAGATAAAAGAAGCATGAATTCCGTCCAAGATTGAGCCATCGAAACCTGGACCACGGCGGCAATCGTCGAGCGACTACGTAACAGGATGGAGGAGACATGAACAAAAGACAATCAGGAGCTCTCTCACCTGCACTGGATTTGATGGCAGGGACGGCATGGTTGAGTTTATCAGCAACAGCATTCGCATGCCAGTTGCTGAGATCCAACTCTCTGACCCCTGTGTACTGTGATGCTTCCATGGTTTCTCTGTGCCACTTCGGCTGTGGTTGAGCCTACCCGACTGAGGGTAACCACGTGAAGTAGTTGAGATGAGTCTAGACGGCGAAGAAGAAATCCAGACCAGGACCGGCTAGCCAACGACGAGGGATCTTGAGCTGAAGTATTGCCTCCCGTGCTGGATGGGCAGGAAGATCCTTTTTTTTTTCCTTATCCGATTCGACAAGGAACTGTTGAGTCAGGGTTCGGGAAGGATCAGGTGCCTGGGCGTCGGCCAGGGGATGTGGTCTAGATGTACATGTATGCACCGAGGAAGATGAAGTACCGGGTGGCTGTATAAAACCTAAATCCAAAACTGGTAGGGAAAAAAAAATTGCAATGCGTCAAAAGCGTTGACTTGATTAGGGTGTGCCGAAATAGATCTGCGAACGAAGTGAAATGGTAGCAAAGGCCAAAATGGAGGCGAAATATCGAAATGGAGGCGAAATATCGCCTGGCAAGACAATAGAGAGCGAACAAGCGACGAAGTAAATGGGGCCGGACACTGCCCACCCTTATGTACGGTGATGTGTTGATGGCGAACCAGAAACGACTCCTTCAAACCAAGATACGAAACGATCTGACCCCATGAGATGAGGACGGTTATTTGTTTGGCCCTTGTTGGTTATTTGCTCTCCCAGGCAGGGGTGAAATCACACTAGACAGGGGGCAAGCCACAAACACAGCTCCACCACCAAAATTAGCTGTGGCAACTATGTACCTATCCTCGTCTCTTGTATACTCAAGTCTCTCCATGAATTCCAAGCTGAAGACCAGCTATAACCAGCTGACAAAGCAACGCAGGCAGCCCCCTAAGGCTCTGCAGCCCCCTAAGGCTCTGCAGCCCCCTAAGGCTCTGCAGTTGCCAACACCCTCAAATGCAACAACACCACCAAATACGCCTATTTTGAGCCCTCCAGACATCGCCAACGCCTCATTTTATCGTTAAAAGAAGCCTCTCCGATGCCTCCTTCACCGATAGACTCACCGACAGACTCGCCGGCCGTCACCGAGGCCGTCACCGAGGGTCCTATCGTCTCCTTCACAGCAGATACGCACGAAGAGCTGCTCAAGACCATTCGTTCGTGGCCACTACGCCTGACTTGAAGGTAGGTACATGAGACGAGGACAGGTACATAGCAGCCACAGCTGATTTTGGTGGTGGAGCTGTGTTTTCGGCTTGATCCCTATCTAGTGTGATCTCACCCCTGCCGGGCAGAGCAAATAACCAACAAGGGCCGAACAAATAACCGTCCTCCCATGAGATCGCCTCTCGTCTGTTTCCACAGGAGTGATCAGATGCAAAAACACTGGCGGGCGAAGGCGCCAGACCAAATCCGCACCGGGCATCTTGCAGAATCCTAATAAGGGTCTGCTTGTGGCTCGATAGGGGACCGTGGGGATGTCTGCATAGGCCAATGACGTTTTAAAGTTTCTCCGCCATGGCTTGTTAACCCTGTGTATGAGGATCTTTTGGAGCCAACAGCTGAGCGTCAGGGGGTATAGATGGGGATTGATAAATGTGGAGGGGTGGGACCTGCCGCACAGAGATGTCTGTGGCCTGCGAATCAGATATTCGAGAAGTGGACGCACAGGGTTCCCATATCTTGCTTTTGTATCCTCCGATCGTTAAGTTTGCTGCCGAGTGCGTAGATGGTATCGTTGGTGGCTCGGTTGGCAGGCTCGCGTGCGTGGTGTGTTGAAGTGGTAGGGGCTAGTATTGGCTGTGGACCAGCCATTGCACGATAACAACGTTGGATGTACGTTCGTAGGTCGCACGACGAGCGCATTCCGGTGAACCGATGGGATGGCATATCACACGCCATAAAGCCAGCCTCTTGGGCATTGATCATTTGGGCGCTGGGCCAACGAGCACATCCTTGTTGGTCATCCAGTCTCTCATGATCAGTAGCCTGGGTCCGTGATGCCGGGGGGGAGCCAAGGGTCTGTGACAGGTTCAAGGGGTCAGAGTGATCAGCTCAACCTGCGCCTCCGCTTTCATAAACAAAACTGTCCTTTTGCTAACAACTAACGAAGCGTCAGCTCCGTTTTGGAGTCGTCCCCAGCCGCTGTTCCGAGTCCAGATTCTGGACCTGACGCTACAGAGCAGCTGACGGTAGCGTGCCCAAACGACCGCCCTGGGCTTGCCCACGTTGCTGGATCAAGATGGTGATGCCGACTGGCGCCGCAGCCCGCTGAGGACTAGTAGAAAAGTTGCGATGTTGGGCGTTGGTCCAGACCAGCGGCACAGGCCTTCCCTTGTTGGGTCTTGAGCGGTTACGCCTGATTGGGTGCTTCCGTGCGACACTGCAGGAGAAGCTCCAAATCCGAGACGCCCAGACAAGCAGACCAGAAGGCTTTGCCTGCTTTAGCGACAAGTCCAAAGGGCCAACATGAAACGCTGGACACATTTGGACACCTGCAATAGACAGGAGCGACGTATCGGCGTCACATCGAATGGGGGTTTCGTCAGCGGAGGGCTCAGCGGACCCACGGTGATCGCAGGATCTGCCGTCGCAGGGAAGAGGGGGACTGTCCTTTCGAACCTTCGTCGTGATCGCACGTTCAATTGGAGAAGACAGGGACGTGGGGAGGGGAAATGGTGGACATGCTGGGGGTGCATCCTCAAGATCGCCCAGTGGGTATCGCGCCATCGAATCCGCGATGACGCTGCTTGACCTGCGATGAGGAAAACTCGAATGTCAGCGAGACGTGGCCGTGGGGGACGAATTTACATGGTACAGCTCTGGACATCCTAACCAGCAACGACAGGGACGTACGGTTGGACGGCTAGCGCGCCGGGCTGTCTGTCTGTCACCTTGGGATTTCGACATGGCGTCTAGCTGGCGGTTGCATTCGTTGATAAAGGAAGTGATAGAAGTCCAGATGGGCCCGTAAGGGCTAGTTTTGCTCGAATGGCGTTGATCGCATGACTGGCAGTCCCGTGGGGTTCCGGTCTGACGGTACACTCTGGCCTTGATTGCTCGAGGTACTGCAAAGCGCTCCCATCCATCGGGACGATGGTTGGCCATGAAAAGTCGACGCAAGCGGTGAGTCGGGGATGGCCTGCGGCATGCTGATCGTAACGAGTCAGTCCGGATGTATGGGTAGAAGCAAGGTTGCTTAAGGCCGATTCGTAGGCAACAGTACATCGTCAATGTCTTGGGTTATGGTCGGAGAAGTGACGAGATGACGCGCGGAGCCGTTCTTCTGATGGACGAATCGGCAAGTTGGAAGTCACATCGCCGGAGAACATGCTTCGTCCATCGCGGCGCCAGAGGAGAAGATTCTTCTTGTAGACTTCATACATTAAATACAATGTCTTCAGGTGGCCACATCATTTTCATGAAGCATTGTTTGAGTGAAAAGCATAACATCGCAGAATGACGTCCTCACCTTCTGTTGAGGTAAGGTTCGACTGGTTACCCCGCTTGCTGCCCCTTCCTTTCTCTCACGTCGTTCGTCATGGATGTAGCGACAGACAGACTGCGACGGGTGCAAGGCCCGTCGTTGTTTCCCATGCTTCAAGATATTGAGCCCGTGTGCCGCAACTCCCTCGTCCACCGTGTCCCGCTGTGCCTAGGTAAGGTAGGTACCTATACTTGTTCTTGAGCGTGGTATGTACTGCCATCGTCAGCAATGAGAAAAGAAGTTTCACTATCTGTAAACCATTGTTTACGCCTTTTGGGTACGACAACGCCCTCGAACTGATCGACGGAACCAATGGGTACGCTCCTGTTTATCAGGATGACTGATGGCCATCGCATCCCAGCCACCTATCTATCAATGGTGTTCAATTAGTCGGTTCGCCTTCACGGTCCTCTGGCTATGTCGCTATGTCACAATCCCCACAAATGACTTCTGTCGAGTCGAGACTTGTGGGCTTCACCGTCCGGCCTGAACCAAGGCTGAACGTGATGTCTGTTCTTGTCCCTAACAAATAATGGCAGACCAGGTGACCGATTACATCAACTGGCTCCAAAGCGTGGTGACTTCCGCTCAGACCAAGGCATAATCACAGCCGCCAGTGCGCCTTACCAGGCAGCTTGTGGATCGCCATTGGCCGAAAACCGTGCCTGTCTGAAGGCCTGTTATTGATGGACAAGGGAAGTACATGTACATGTACGTGCCGAGTCGCAACCCCCCAAAAAGGATACCAGTAGCCAGAGAAATTTGTCATCACCAGCCTCGCTCATCGAAACCATTCCGTCGGATTGTGGTCAAATTAGTGCTCCTGCAAGGTTGAAAGAATCTGTATCTCGACACACGAGCAAACTGCATGCCGTTATGTCGACCATTCGACTGCATCATTGAATTACATGCGGTGCGTACAAGTACCTACCTAGGTAGCTACCGTACAGAGCACTTTGGTACCTGCTTAACGGCCTTTCCACTGCTTACCCGCCAATCAATGCAGGCTGAGTATGCTGGCTCTGACCAAGCCCCATACGTTGCATGTGCCGGGGAGGCAGCCAGATCTGACCCCAGTAGCAGGCAGGCCGCCGTCACAACAAGTCCTACGGCGCGCCGAGTCCTACAAACCGGGATCTAGGACATGACAATGGACCGCGAGGGAGGGAACCCCTCAACCCGTCTTCACTCCGCCGCCAACCTCCGAGCATCCAGCAGAATAAAACTCAACATGGGTGGCGGATTGGTCGTATTTCATTTCTTGCATTGTCGAATGTTCTTTGGTCGGCATTGCTCAATCTGATCATGGCTGCGAAGAAGCCCGTCTCGCCACTAGGTGACGACGCTCATCCGCGCATCTGGAACCCCTCAGCCTTACGAGCCTTGACGTCTTCCCCCCGCCTTAGCCTGAGCCGCTCCAGAAGGGATTCATGTTCTACGACAAGCTCAAGCTCAACGTCTTCGCTCGAGCCGGGCTCGAGGGCGTCATGTGTGTAAGTTGCGGTGTCACTTTTAAAACTTGCCCGAGAAATACTTACCTGGCAATACGCAAAAGCACTCGTCAAACACCTCACGATGAGTGTGCTGTACATAGGTTCATCGTGTGGGCCGCCATTCAGCGAAATGCTTGCGAAAAGATGTCGCCGATTGAGAAACTCGAATGCCCTCTGCTTCGCTGCAGGAAACGGTTTCCGAATCATGAGCTGATGTTGAAGCACCTCTACACCTGCGACCTTCTGTCCACTGGAGAATACTGGTGCTATGAATGCGAGAAGCCAGAGAAATTCACAGATGGCAAGTGCAAGCGGTGCCTTGGTCACCCCGGGAAACGTCGCAAAATACTCAAGATCGCGAAGAACTTCTTCTCGACCATTGGCCACAAGTCTAGGAAGGAGGGCGCTGCCGACCTCGATCTCGTCGCCACCACCGACCTCCCGCCCCCGAGCTATGGCTCCTTGCACGTTCGACCCCAACAGATCGAGCTGTCATGCGCTACCGAGATCGTTGAGATTGATTCTGTCGAAATTTCAGCAACCCGGGCTCCCCAAAATGCATCCCCTCTGCTTGACCCAGCTTCGACTAACGTCTTACCGGCAACGGACCACCCAACACAGGCTGCGGCCCTGGACTGCATGATCTCATCCATACCTAGCCCCTTGTCCGATTGGGATTTCAACCTCCTTACTGGCGCTCCCGGCACCGCTACGGTGGAGAACGATCACTCCAAGATGTCCGATCGACCGGCATTGCAGCTGACCACATACGACCTTGCACATTACAGACGTAGCAGGCTGGATCTACAAAACAAGGGGAAAAAGCTATCCCCAAGCTCATCGCTGAGATCAAATGCGAGTTTTGGAAGCCACGTCATTTCACCAATTTCAGCATTCAGCGGGGCCTGGACAGTAGGGTCGGGTTTTGAGACCGACTTGACCTCACCCACCTCCGACGGCGGCTTTCTGTCAAGAGGCGGTTCCAATGCAAGCCGGCGAAGTTGCTTCGATAGCGTGCAGCTGCATGAGACTATATCAGAGCTCCCGGCCGAATCTCCCCTTGCTGACACCATACCGCCTGTCCTTCCGGATGGAAGCAGCACAGATTATTGTTCCACAGGAACCATCACAACCGTTCCGGACACTGCGGCAGTACCGACGGTTCTCGCGAACTCTTTCAAGTCCGAGACATATATCCAGGTACCAGAGAGTAGCAAAACGCAGCCACTGACGAATCCCCACGCACTGATTACTTCGGCCTGGGAGACTTTGCAAACACACATCACCTCATCAATGCAAAAGCTGCGACACATGTCACACAACCCCCTCGTCAATCGATTGCAATTCCTCGACTGCCATACCGTCGGGACAACTGGACTTGCCACTCTTCAAGCAATTTTGGAGGGTGAGATCCCAACTTCTCCGCTGGACTGGCTTTGTTTCGTACACTTCACCTATTCGTTATCCCTGGTTGTTTACGAGCGGGATGCTGAAAGCATGGCGAAACGTCTCTTCGCCCAAGCTTATTTGTATGGAAGTCTGGTCGCTCCTGAGCTTCGTAGTTTTTACCTAGAGGTCGCTACGTCGATCTGGCACCCTCTGGATATGACCGATGACGAACTTGCTGGTCAACTACTCAAGGAAGACCTTGGAGCCTTACCAATTGCAGATGCTACCAAGGGCAAGACATGCGGATTGCCCATTGTGACTCTTCATGGGGCAGATGACCTACTAGAAATAGCTCGGTTCTTCCTGGACGGTAAGTTGACGTCGTACACTGAATTCAAGGTGGCAAATCAGATCCTTCTAACACCAGTAGAACTCGAGCACGCCGCGATTCCTGTCAGTGGACCGCACCCAATCGCCGCTGCGAAGTCCGACAGCTGGGTGCAGCAAACGCGAGATGCCGATGTAGGAAAAGTTTCCGACCGGGGATTCTCGGTCACTGTTGGCCTTGTCGTGAATATGCTGCAGGGCCAATTCGCCAATGCCTTCGGTCTTGTCAAAAAGCTGGCCAAATTCCAAAAGCGTGTCGACGCAGGCGAGATACAAAATCCACGAAGAGCGGAGTTGGAGTTGATACAGGCAGGCAAGGTTAGTTTTCTGCCATCACCTGGTTCTCGTGGCTGTTGCTAATCTAGCTGTAGGGGCACTTTTCGAACAATGTGTATTTTGATTCATATGTACCAGCAGTCCGGCAACATTGTGATAACATTTACGAATACGCGATTCCGGACACCACATCGCGGGCGACCTACCACTTATGCGGTATCAGAATTATGAAAGACGTCATGTCGGATCTCCATCAAAGTGCCACATCGCTAGATGTCAACGGC